TTTTGAATGTGAGTCAACAAACCAGATGACATGGCCTTTCACCTGTGACCCCTATAGAAAGAGTTAATGAAGGTCTCCTAGCTCATAGACATATTTTTAAACAGACATCATATTTTACATCCCTCCACTGATAAATTTATTCTTAACAGTTTTCCACTTAATACCAAATAGTATGAGCAACCTTGTAGCATTGCAATGGGAAATAGATTTAAAAAAAGGTTAGTGGTTCTAGTTGTTACTGTTTTCAATTATTCCAGGTAATTAGTAATCCAAATATTGTTATGTTCTGTTTTATTTTCAATTAATTCAAGTTTATACTGAGGTAGCAATGTCTTCTTCAGGAGAGCATGACATTTTAGTGCCTTAAAAGGGTATATATACAAATTTTCTCGGATTAGGTTCCTGGTTGCTGTGCCATGCTTCTCCCTTATTGGTTCATCATCATCAACTGTTGACCACCATCCTGTTCTCATCTTACTAGGCTCACTGCTGTTTCTGCCCACTTGTTTCTTCCACTGTGGTGTTTGTGTTCTTTACTAATAGGATGTGAGCAGCTTCCATAGCTTTTCTTTGTTGCTCTTCCATACCTTTGCTGACAATTTTAGTTTCCTTCTGTGTAGGCAGATTTCCTGCTTCCTCTGCATGTGCTACTATTGTGTTGGTTGTATTATCTTTTGACATCTGCTTTATGCTCATTTAGACTGGTTGTGAGGCATCTGCCAGTTTTACCTATGTGAACTTTATTGCATTCACCACATGGAATGCAGAATACTACGCTGGTGTCTGTTGTGTGTTTCTGTCTCCTGTCCTTTACCATCTCTATTATTTTTATTTCTGTTTTCATTACTACCTCTGTGGTTGCGTGTTCTGCATTACATGGGTTGTTCAGAAGCAGTTCTCCAGTGTTACATGATTTTCTACAGGATGTGCTGTCATTCTCAATGACTGTTTGAATTACTTTGTTCTGTGCCTGAGAAGTAATCAAATAAAGAAGAAAAATATGGTGAAAGGATAATAAAGACTCGCTGTATACACATGCATCTGTTTAATAAAAATTTTTTTAGTTTTTGTAGATGTACGAGTCCAATAGATTTCTTAAGGAACCATTATATAACTTTTCATATCTGCACCCCAGCTGGGCTGTTGCCTAGCATTGTATGACCACAGGCTTGCATGGGTACTAACTGGCCTTTGTATGAGACTTTCTGCCATTATCTGGCTACTATAGCAGAGCACTGTGTCCAATGAGTGTGTAAAGCTAAAGCTAAAGTACAATGCCTACTTGTATAATGAAATCTGATAAGAAGGTTTATAGGCACTGACTGGTTTTTGTAATTGCAGGAGGTGAAAAACTACCTTCTAATTGTAACTTACTGCCATTAAAAATGTATATAAAACAAAGTGCTCCTTCTGACTCACTCTTAAATTCAAAGTTTATTCTTGTAGCTCCCAGGAAATATATTCAGTTAGATTACACTGCCCAGAGTAAATATCAAGAAAATACTCAGTAACATTCACTAATCTGGAAATAGTTCAGTTCTATGATGTAAACCTATTCCAAATGAAGAGTACTGAAAAGAACTAAAGTATAATGTTATTTTTAATAACATGTTATTTTCTATTATCCCTCATCACAACATATATGTATATGTGTGAGTGTCTTCCACTGCCAATAGTGAAATGGCATTAGAAGTATTTCAGTTTAAAAATAAACCAAACATATGTGTTAAGAAGGTTGACAAGATATTATTCAGCAATTGATGCACACTTGAGAATTTGATCTAGAATTATGTAATACATCTAGGCAAAGATTTTCAAAATTTAGATCTTATTTGAAGTCAAGTTTCTCAGCTCAAGTATGTAAGAAACAGCTTCTTATCCACTGGCATCATGTAAATAGTACTTGTATATCTCGACAGTGAATCAAAACTTATAAAGAACATTTGTACATAACTTCAGAAATTTCCACTTAATTGTTATTATGTCACTTTCGCATTTGCCAAAATTAAAGAAAAATGTAATGATGACACTTGTGTATATGTTGATTATCAATGGAAAAAAACACCTAAGCCTGCATGTTTCCCAAGTGATGGTCATGTGGCAATCTTGTCATTTAGGTTGATTGTAGGACCTTTTTTCTAGAGGGAACACTGCACTGTCTATGAAGTGCAACAATAAGGACTACAAAGCATAAACACTTTCTTTCAAAGCCAGTCACCTGTCTGGCTTTTGCACTTTCTACAGCAGTACTGTCATCTAAGAGTTGAGAAACTCGTTAAGTCAAATTTACTTAACCCTTTGTTCATGGGCTCATTCAAATTGACTGACCTCATACCTGTAAAGGTATACATAATAATGTTTACTATAATTCTGAATTTACTAAATGTATCTTCACTAAACTAGGCACATGTTTAGTAAAGATTATAAATCTGTTGTACACAAAAAATTTATTTTTTATTAAAGTATTTTTACAAACAGTTTGTCAGTCTGAATGAAAAGTAATTTTCATGCTGAAAGTAAAAATACTTCTTTTCATCTTACAATTTTCTTATTTAATTTATGTAACTTTTAGAACTTCTTATGCAAATATTAAAAGTTTTGTAGGTAAAAAAAATATCTTAGCTCTTAGTTTCTCTACCCTGACACTAACTGTAATAAATCATTAAAGAATAGTAAAGATTAAGATCACAGATGTAAATGAAAAGCCACTGGAACAGGCAGAAGACTAAGTACTTGGGAAGTACAATCTAAAGTGAAGGAGGAAGTGAGAAAGCTGTGAGAGATAGAATCCAGTCATGTTGGAGGAAATGGAAGGAAGTAACCATGGTTATCTGTGACAAAATGTTACAAAGGACATTGAAAGCCAGTGTGAATAAAACCACGACTAGACCAGTGCTCCTCTATGGAGCCAAGACTTGGACCCTGAAGAAAAAAGAAAAAGGCTTGTACATAAGAACAGAAATGGTAATGCTGAGATGCTGTTAGGAGTGTTTCTGAAAGAGAAGAGAATTAATAAGGAAATGGCTGGAGTCTGTGGAATAGAGGAAAGGGAAATAGAAGTGAGACTGAGGTGGTATGGTCACATGAAGAGAAGAGGAGGACAACAAGCAATAAGGAGAGGGTTAGAGCTACCAGTAGACAGCAGAAGAAGACAGGGAAGGACAGTAAAGGATTGGAAAGATGGGATTAAAGAATATATGAATGAGAAAGGAATTGCAGAACACCTGGCAATGAATAAAGATGATTGGAAGAGGTCAAGACATGAAGGATAGCAACCTTGCTAAAGGGAAAAGCTAAAGATGAATAAGTGAAATGAAAAGTTCAGAAATGTGAAATATAATGAATAATATAATTTTGTTCTCTGCACTGACTCCAGTATTGACTAGAAAGATCCAAGTTAAATAATTGTCTTAACAGATTCAAACTCTAACCTTTTACTTTTATGGTTTTACTGCTTTACTTTGGATCCATTACTGCACACAAGAAGCAGTAAGGGGGTGGCATAATAGAGCTAATGTAAATACCACGTGATTATGAAGAAGTGTTCCGTTACGTATGCTTGAACTAGTATAATTATATGTACAGTATACCCTCACCTGTTCGCGGTTCTCCATTCG